GTAAAGATGAAAAAGCAAAGAGAAGATAAGAAGCAGTCCGAGACCACAATTCTCACTAAAGAGTCTCTTTTCAGTGTTCCTCAAGCTTATTTCTACACTAATTTGTTCATAGTATCTTAAAATACTTTAATATAAATTACCAGTCAGGAGGTTAAGAGCACAGACTTGAGCTCACCTCAAATTTGGGCTTGTCTATTTATTATCATGTGATCTTGTGTAAAAAGCAACAATTCTGTGACTCGGCTCCATTTATGTATAAAATGGAGATGACAATAGCACTTACTTCCTTGATTGTAAGGATTAAATGAGTTACATGTGATACTTACTCGGAGCAGTGTCTGGTACATAGCACATCTAGTACACAGTATTAGCCTTTATTAACACTATCATTACTACCTCCATCTGGGAATTTAGCAAAAAACTGCTCTATTTAACTTAGTCAACACTTCTTCTCTTCCAACATCTGTCAGTTCTCTTGTGGCTGACTTACATAGGCTAACAATGAACTGTTTTCAATAAGTAAGCAATGCATCCCATAATCTCAGCACTTTTTTCCTATCACTTATCACTTCTTTTCTTCTCCTTCTGGTACTTGGAAAGGAATCATTTGAAGTTAACTGGATTGTTTATGTCATAGGTAACTTCATAAGCTACTGCAATGCTAAGGCTAACACTGAAATTTGTAACATCAAAAGGAGAAAAAACTAAGAGTACTCTCTCTCAGTTTTAACCTTAAAAAAAATAATAAAGTTAGGCATTTTGTTTGTGAAACAGTTTTTGTACCAATAGTTTTTGTTTAAGCATCATAAATGGCCTATAATGTGTGTTAAAACATGAGTTGAAATCATGTATTTCAATTATTGATTTATTAAATTTTGTCTTAATCTATCATGACACTTTTGATTTAAGATCAAATGAGATCTAAAAATAAACAAAATTAGAAATACCATGTATTTACAACATATGCAAAATGTCTAAATTACTTTTACACAAAGGCCACATGTTAGACTTCCCTTGAAACATGAGGCATTCAATATTAGTGTATCTAGGACCAAGTCCAAACTTGTACATCCTCCAGTCCAAGGTGGAATAATATTGTTTAATCTCTCTGGCTCTAGTCAGCACTTAACACCATTTAAAAACCTAATTAATCCCAGAAAGCTTACCATCCACATGACCCTCTACCTACAGAAATTAAGCTAATTGTAACAGCAAATGACAAGACAAAGAAATAAATTACAATATATGCCAAGTACCCTGTTGTAGGTTTTATATTTTCTCATATAACTATATATTAAAAATCTATTAAATCTTGTTGAGCATTGGCAAGTGGAATGCTATGAATGTAAAACAAAACAAAACAGTGTTAGGATTTTGCACATTTGGGTGTTTCCTTACCTTTGCTGAGTATGTTTTGCAACCAACCAACATATGAACATCAGTAATGTTTTATTTAACATGATAAAAGTGATTTATTTAGTACCTAACAGTGCTAACCACTGCTATATTTCATTCTAACAACTGTGAGAAGCTGGAATTCTTCCCACTTTACAGACAAGGAAACTGAGATAAGAGATTACTGTATTGAAGATCACACAACAAGCAAGTGATGGAACAAGTGTATAAACACAGGTCTGATTCCAAAGCCTGTGCTAAGGATAACATCAAAGACTCACATTTTCAGGCATTACCCAAGCAATGTTATGTGACTGTCTAAAATTAAAAAACAATGTTTTACCATAAAATACTATGGCTATAGTGGAATATAGCCATTTTGCTATACAATTACATGTTAATTATCTGAAGATACCATAGAAATTCTGCTGACTTTCACTTAATTAACTGGCAAGATTGACCAATGCATACCTACCCTAAACACAACCTGACAGACATTGCTGATACTGAACACCACTGACTAATAGGGTACTTCCCAGGTGCCTGCACACTTCTAGTGTTTGTGCGCGTGCATGTGTGCATGTGTGTGTGTACATGCACACACATGCACTGGGATTAAACCCAGGGCCCTGCACGTGCCTGGCAAGTGCTTGATCACAGAACAATACTTCTAACCCTGATAAACACAATTCTGGTGAACATGAATTCCCTCCTTTCCTAAAACAAATTCCTGCTGAATCATGTGCCCACAAGATACCTATAAAATTGTGTGTAAGAAGTTTAAAATTATTAAAAATGTAAGCTTCCACCCTCAGACTGCTCTGCAAAGTCTGATTCTACTTTAAAGAAATCAAAACTAGAAATCTTAGGTGCACATTACTGATATGGTTTATATAAGAAAAATTATGTCCAACTCTTAAAAAAAAAAAACAACTGACCCCCATCTCACTCTCCAAAAGGGCCATGGGGGCTGGAGGGCATGGCTCATAGCTCAGTGATGAAACACTGGCCTAGGATGTGTAAGGCTCTGGGTTTGATCCTAGCACTAAAATATAAAGGTGGGGAGTAGGTATGATCCTAAATGAAAAGATAAATGAAAAAATTAAAGCTGCTATTTTTCTGTAATTCCCCATTTAGCCAACCAAATACCACAGCCATTCATGTAGGGTAAGAGGCTCCTATTAGAAACTAATTCTCTGAAATACTGTCTCCCACTAAGGAAGTATTTGACTCTTTACATTAAAATCCGAACATTAAGGGCTGGGGGTGTGGCTCAAGTGGGTTCAGCTTCTGCGTGGTGAGTTCAACCCCCGGTGCCACCAAAAAAAACCCAATCAAACAAAAATATCCACATTTTACTCACATTCTTGAACAATGAGTGTCTGAGAGGTTCTCTTATTTACCCTCATTTTACAGAGGACTCAATATCAAGTATGGTTATATAATTCTCTACCCCACAGATTAAAAGGAGGAAATTAAGGAAAACAAGAACAAACATATTAACAAAGACCATTAATACCAAGGGAACATAAAAATCAGACATAAATAAATAAATATGATAGACTGGATTGGTTTAAGCTATAAACAAAAGAAACTTACAAACTTAAATATCTTTTTATGGCATTTCTAGATTATGACCAGCACAGAGCTGCAATTTATAGCAGTGGCCCTTTATCATCTACTGTCTATAAAAAAAAAGGGCAGAGAAGGATGAATATTTTAGAAATCTCTCCCTGTACATCATGATTATAATTCAAAGTATTTTTTGGCATTTAAAGAGTCATGTTTCAATTATCTAGAAAATCACTCAGATAAAATATTTCATTATTCAACAATGTACAAAAATAAAGTGTTAGTATTTCTAAGTAAGTGTTGTCTATAATTGTGCCTTTCAAACTGCAGGTCATCACAATCCACTGATCAAGAAATCAATTCAGTAGGTTGTGCTAACAACTCAAAAAGTGAAATGGAAGAGAAAATACAAAGTCACATTGCACACAGTAAGGGTAGTGAAAAACTTGCTTCAATATTTCTGTAACAGTTTGGTACATATTAATTATGCTAGTTCTTGGTCTAAAAACAGCCATGAATCTTAAGGTTCATGTTATTATGGAATAAAATCACAAAATTAAACTTGGAACCCCATCATTCTTATCTGCTTATGCTAAAGAAAGACATGATTTTAAAGGAGGGAAAAGTCACTTGTTTGGAAATCTTGATGAATAAATTTATTTATTTTCCTAAGCAATCTATATCAGTATATAACTAAACATTTTATTGTGCTTAGTACTGTTTTTACTTAAAATAGATAATACTGTTTTCAAACTGCTACTGCAATTGCCAATTTTTAAACTGCTATGACGTTAAAGCAACTTTTAACAACAATCCAAAACAAACAGTGACTTTGATTTTATTTGCTTGTTCATTCTGAGATGCAATTGCAGACCGTGGTGCCATTTTTCCAAAGTCACTGGAGTAATGTAAAAATCTAAACTTAGCACTGTACACAGTTACCTGTTCAGTAGCAATGTACTTGTTGATACTTCATACAGATACAGCTGTAGCCTGATTTTAAGTCTAATTTAAACCAGCAAATTAAATAAGGCTTTTTCCAGTTCTTTCTAGTGCATTGTAACAGACACTCTTACCAAAGATATATTTGAACTAGGCAATGTCTTTCTAAGCACTTTGAAAAAATATATATGGAAAATAACCACTTTAATACATTTTTGTAAATAAGCATCTAATTCATAGAATAAATTATTACTTCCAATCTTCAAGTCTCAGACTTGGAAGGAACTGTCTTCTAGTCCACTCCCTACTAAATACAATAATGCCCTCCTTACACTGTTCCTTGGAATCAAATTCATATCTGAATTTAAAAAGCCCTCATTGTATTAAAACACTATACTACAATATTTTAATCTTCTAAAATTGGTCCTTGCCATTGATCATGGGACTGATAAATGATTCCCGACATGTCCTTGAGAAGCACAGTGTATATATTCTGGTAAAGTCCTGGGAACACAGATTTGGAAAGGAAGTAGCATTTGCCCATCATTAGGGATTTTGGTAGTCCCAGCTGTTCATTTACTATATTGAATGCTGAAGTGCTTTGCAGACTTTTGGAGTTTGCTTAAAGCACAAAATTTGACCAATGAAAGTAGTAATGATAATAAAATAATAGTTGTCAACTAAAACCAATCTTCTCTCTTTATCAAGTCTAAAAAGTTTGTAACTTTTTTAAAATTAGGTTGACTTTGCCTAAAAATAAAGTCACTGCAACTCTAAAATGATACCAAGGATGTGGCAACAGATACAAGTGCTGTTCTTGACAACTTCATGTGGACACAGGCTGAATTCTCTCCTGAAACTGCTCTAAGGTACTGTCACAGAACACCTTCTACCATATGCCCTTCTTTGCCTCACCAGCTGGAATCTGTCACAGAAACAGACAATCATATGATACAGAAATAGTTGATCCTGCTGCGGAATTAGGTTAACACTTCTAAAAAGAGGCACGGGAAAGAAAGAAAGAAAGAAAAAAAAAAAAAAAGAAACCCAAACACAACACAACACCAGTCCGACTTAAATAAATCGTTTACCTCGGTCTGGCTTCATTTTCACATCCGATTTCCACCCCAAGTGCTGTGAAATACAAATATGGGTTCGTTCAACAGGCTCACCGCTGACTGAACAGCTTCTGCTTCCGCTAAAAGAGATCAAAAATCAAATTAATCTGGCTCCTGCTCTAACACTCTAGACCTTTGCAAGAAAACTACTGTTAAGTTAGGCCTCTTTCTGGCACAAACTGCGGTGACAAGTCAGAAAAAAAGCAAAACTCTGCACAGCCTCCCCCAATCTCCCTGGGACCAAGCACCCATCTCTTCCCCCGCCCTTGTGCTCTTCAGGCCAAGGTGTCCTTCTGTGACACAGCGTCTCGGAACCAAAAGCAAGATCTATTTATAACCTGGAGGTACAGGCAAGAAGCAGAAGAAAGAAGAGGAAGGAAAAGAAAAAAAGATTCAAACGACACGGACTAACCCCTTAGTAGAAAACGCTTCTGGGGACAGTGGCACCTCCGTGGTGGCCGGGATCGAAATTCTTCCACCTGGTGCCCGCGCGCAGGAAACTTGCAGCCTCCCCGCCCGCCCCGCCCGCCCCGCGGGCCTCACCTGTGTAATTACCCTCTGGCTAGCCTTAGCCTTGCTGCTGCAACCGCGGCCAAGTTTACACAATAAGAGGGTCAGCGAGAAACCCGAGTCACCTCCCTGATCGCGCCCAGCCCCCAGCGCAAACCAACTCTCCCCGGGGGAGGGTGGGGTGTGTGTGGAGAAGGAGGGCTGTCCCTGTTTGCCCCTTGCCACCCACCCTCCCTTTAACCCTATGTGGCCCGGCCTGAGGTCCGCCCCACCCGCAAGACAGTGTTTCCAAATGACTGCGCCAGCCGCAGGGCTCTTCCGTCCCGCCGCGACCCCGGATTTCCTTCAGCCCTGCCACCCCGAGCGCGGCGCCTGCCCGAGAGTTTGCATGGCGCACCAACCAGGCAGCTCTCTGCTGACGAACTCGCCCTGTCCCCTGTCCCAATCCCTCCTCCTCTTGGCACCGCTCTCCGCCGTCGCCCAGAGGCTCACATCACACTTCACCTCGCCCCCGAGATTCCGAGACGCGTCGGGCCGGCGACAGCGGAGGGCGGCGCGCAGCGGCCCCCAAGGCTACATTAAGGGACCATAAGGAACCCGAGACGACAAGCCCGGCGCGGCTTCCCGGCGCCCCTGTGGCCATCCACCCCCAGCCGCTCCCTGCGCTGTGTCCGACCCGCGCCTCGCCAACCCCGGGCCGCGCCCACCCCGCGCCTCTGCCAGCCAGCTCCTCGCCCGCCCGCTGTCTCTAGCTGTGGCGCCCCCAGCTCCCGGTTCCCCTTCGCTCGCTCAAATTCTTTTCTCTGCTGTTTGCCCTGTCAAAACACTGCCCGAGTCACGTGTCCCAACAACAGCCAACCCACCGCTCGTCACTTCCTCCCCGACGGCCTCCGCGGCGCGGGCGCCTGGTTGTTATGGCAACGCCGCCGCCCCACGCTCGCGCGCGCGCGTGTGCGTGCGTGTGCGCGTGTGTGTGCGTGTGTGTTCACGCTCGTCCCAGGTGCGCCCCACGCTCGTGTGTGTGTGTGTGTGTGTGTGTGTGTGTGTGTGTGTGTGTGTGTGTGTGTGTGTGTGTGTGTGTGTGTGTGTTGTGTGTGTGTGTGTGTGTGTGTGTGTGTTTTCTGCTGGCGTTTTAGGCCGCGCCCGCTTCCCACCCCCCCACCCGCGCTCTGAGCCCCAGCAGGCGTGCGTCTGCCACCAGGAATTGGGGCTGCGCTATTAGAGCGCAGGGTAACCGGGGAGATGTCATCTCAGGGCCTGCCCCAGACAAAAAGAGGATAATTATAGGCTCCTCCTCCTCCTCCACACGGGATGCTGGCGCAGAGCTGGGATCTAGTCCCCAGTGGATAGCAGCGCACTGTGGCACCTGGGGTGAATGTGGCCGGGACGGGAAGGTGGGCAGCCAGCAGTGCGTGCGGATCAGGAAGTTCCGGGGAGTTTAAGGACAGCAAGCCCCTCGCCCTACATTTTACCAGATCACTAGGGGTTCTAGTAGGATTCAGAACTCAAACTTCGGAAGCACGCGAGGCGCTAAAAATAGCTCATAGCTTCTAAAGCACTGACTCATGGGCAAGTAGACACTTTTATACCATGTTATTGTTGAGGAGCTGTAATTTTGTTGTTGTGCTTTAACAATGTGACATGATGACATTTTGTGTTGCGATGTCGGGTCATCACTTAAACACAAACAGATGTCAAGAATCTTCTGTAGTTAAAAAAAGCAACCCCAACAACGGCTGAAGCTCAGCTACTTAGTGGAGACAAAGTCCACATGAGGTTATGAACCCGAACAAAGACAGGCAGTACAAATTTTCAAGGCTCTGGTTTCATTAGGAAAAAAAACCCAAACTTTTTTTAGAAATAGTTTTACATACAAGAATCTCAACAGGTCATATGTGCATACAATGTTTGGGTCAAAAAAAAATCTCAACAGGAAAGTATTAGAACACATCTAAAGGTAAATTTTTACCTATTTAAAAATATTTTTGTTGGCATATAATGTTTGGACAGAGGGGGATTTCATTGTCACATTTCCATATATGTTTACAATGTATAAAGATAATTTTAAGCCTAATTATTGGAGGGAGTGAATCTAGTTAAGATATAGTGTAAGCACATACGTAAATATCACTATCCCCCTGTACAACTATAACATGCTAATTTTAAAAACCCAATTATTTGTGTTCTTTTTCTAAAGTGTTATGGGTATTTCTTTTACATCAGAGAATTTTTTGCAAAACACAACACTGGCAATTGCTTGGGTTTTTTTTTTTTTTTGCTTCAGATCAAATATATGAAATTTCTATTATAGGAAAAGTAATGATTTCTAGATGTTTATGTGTGTACAATAAAATAATATGTATACTGCAGTTATCAACTTTAACTTCAAGGTTGTATGTAGTCAGAACAGGGCCGGAGGAAGACATCACACTGTCACAGAAATGTTCTGGCAACTTCTAACAAATGGCAACATTTATTTAATTGAAGTAGTGGCTACAAATGTTAATTCCCAGTAGATTTGATAATGCTATCATTGAATACCTTATGATGTGGGTTTTTTTTAAAAAACTGAACTGAAGTTTTACTTGCTCTGCAATCACTTCTCCATTATCCTTGGTAATGAGGGACAGAAAAAAAAAAAAAGTTACAGATAATCCAAAATCCTAAATTTAGCACAACAGCGGGGGTCAGAAACCAGCTATTGTAAAAGGCTTCCTGGGTGAATCAGCAACAAGATCTATGATTTGGTTCCTCTCCCTATGCCTTGCAAGATGTAGTAAGACCAGAAAAATGTTGAGTGCACAAACCAAGAAACTGTTCTCTTCTAAATAAATTTGGCCCACAGAGTGGGAGAAAATATTTGCCAACTATACATCAGACAAAGGACTGATAACCAGAATATATAGGGAACTTAAAAACTAAATTCTCCCAAAGCCAATGAACCAATAAAGAAATGGGCAAGTGAACTAAACAGAACTTTCTCAAAAGAAGAAATTCAAATGGCCACAAAACACATGAAAAAATGCTCACCATCTCTAGCAATAAAGGAAATGCAAATTAAAACCACGCTAAGATTCCACCTCACCCCTGTTAGAATAGCCATCATCAGCAACACCACCCACCAACAGGTGTTGGCGAGGATGCGGGGGAAAAAGGAACCCTCTTACACTGTTGGTGGGAATGTAGACTAGTACAACCACTCTGGAAAAAAATTTGGAGGCTACTTAAAAAGCTAGACATCGATCTACCATTTGATCCAGCAATACCACTCTTGGGGATATACCCAAAAGACTGTGACACAGGTTACTCCAGAGGCACCTGCACACCCATGTTTATTGCGGCACTATTCACAATAGCCAAGTTATGGAAACAGCCAAGATGCCCCACCACTGACGAATGGATTAAGAAAATGTGGTATCTATACACAATGGAATTCTATGCAGCCATGAAGAAGAACGAAATGTTATCATTCGCTGGTAAATGGATGGAATTGGAGAACATCATTCTGAGTGAGGTTAGCCTGGCCCAAAAGACCAAAAATCGTATGTTCTCCCTCATATGTGGACATTAGATCAAGGGCAAACACAACAAGGGGATTGGACTATGAGCACATGATAAAAGCGAGAGCACACAGGGAGGGGTGAGGATAGGTAAGACACCTAAAAAATTAGCTAGCATTTGTTGCCCTTAATGCAGAGAAACTAAAGCAGATACCTTAAAAGCAACTGAGGCCAATAGGAAAAGGGGAACAGGTACTAGAGAAAAGGTGAGATCAAAAAGAATTAACCTAGCAGGTAACACACACGCACAGGAAATCAATGTGAGTCAACTCCCTGTATAGCTATCCTTATCTCAACCAGCAAAAACCCTTGTTCCTTCCTATTATTGCTTATACTCTCTCTACAACAAAATTAGAGATAAGGGCAAAATAGTTTCTGCTGGGTATTGAGGGGGTAAGGGGAGAGGGAGGGGCGGAGTGGGTGGTAAGGGAGGGGTGGGGCAGGGGGGAGAAATGAACCAAGCCTTGTATGCACATATGAATAATAAAAGAAAAGAAAAAAAAAAAAAGAAAAAACCCATCACAAAAAGGGCGCATGAGGTTGCTCAAGGAGTAGGCCCTGAGTTCAAACCCCAGTACTGCAAAAAAAATTACAATTTTATTCATTTTACCCCCACCACATAGATTTATAATTGTTGTTTTGTGTAGCTAGCTTTTAAATCAAATAAAAGAAAAATAGTTACAAAAATAAATAAATAAATAAATAAATAAATAAATTTTGGTAGCACATGGATACAATAATATCTGAACATTAGTTAGACTAACAAAAATCTCTTTTTTTTTTTTTTTTTTTTGAGTCAGGGTCTTACAATATAGCTCAGGCTGGCCTAGAACTTATGATGCTCCTATCTCAGCTCACTAATGCTTGTATTATAGACATGTGCTACCATGTCCAGCTAAGAAATTTGAGAACATTAAGGCAATGGGAAAAAAGTACCTCTAAGAAGTATATTTCTGGGGTTGGAGATGTAGCTCAGTGGTAGGACACTTGCCTAGTAAGTACAAGGCCCTGGGTTTAGTTCCCCAGTCCAGGAAAAAAGGCAAAAAAAGGTGTATTTCTGAGTCATTCATTATTCAAGTCATTGTTTTAGTCATACTGCCTGAACACTCACTATCTGCTAGGCACATACTAGTCTTGGAGAATACAAAAATCACTCTGACCACCAGGGTCACTACTTTCTTTTTTGGTGGAACTAAAATTTGAACTCAGGGCTTGGTGCTTGCAAAGTAGGCACTCTACCTCTTGCGTCACACTCCAGTCCATTTTGCTCTGGTTATTTTGGAGATGGGGTCTTGAGAACTATTTACTCAGCTGGCCTCGGACCACCATCCTTCCAAGTAGCCTCTCGTCCCCACTCTCTTTTTGTTGTTGTTGTTGTTAGTACTGGGGTTTGAATTCAAGGCCTCCTCATATTTGCTAGGCGGGTGCTCTACCGCTTGAG